AGAGACCGAGAATCGCAAGACAGCCATGAGGATAAACTCGAGGAGTGGATCTTGAGCAGGTGCTTGCCTGAATGTTCTGCTCTGCAACATCCTGACTCATTTTGAAAGGCTACGCCGGCGGGCGGGGGGTCGATGAAGGGGAGGATGGTGGTGGCAAGGATGATGAAAAAAAGATCGGCGTGATAGCTGTGCACAGCGCCATGGCGCCTGGCTACAGCGCAATTTCGGCGTAGCTCGACTCCGCCGATGAAGAAAACTACTCCTCCTCATTCCTCTCGCCATTCCATAACATGGATATAAGATTATAATAAGCAGGCGTTCGTACATGTAAGAGAGGGGTCTGGATCATGTCCCCTAATTCCACACCGCGCGCGCATAATTCCCGAATACCTGATCAGTCCCTACATCGCCATACGCCTGCACATCGGTAGCCGAGTACTGTTTCCCTCCAACCGAGAGAATGTTCAAGATCTTGATAATATCATCTTGCGCGAACTTGTTAAAAACAATATCGACCATTGTGTCGTTCGAGGCACCTGGAGGGTTTGGCGAGCTGACATAATCGGGTGTCGAGAAATACGGAACAGGCGCGTGGAGAGTATCGTCTCCGATGCCCGGGCAGCTCTGGAAATATGGGATTAAATGAGTTGGACCTAGGTGTGTAATCCCGGGATGAAGACAGTGCTCACATCTTTGGTCACGTAGCCCAGTGTGAGGTTGGTTGCCGCAGCCAGGTGCGCAAACTGGACCCACTGAGCTTGTTGCCAACGGGTAAAGCGGTGGTGGACATGGCCCGCAGTGTATAGCTCTGCATCTTCCACCTGTCGTCTACTAGCACCAATCTCATTGAGTTTGGCGAGGACGTATTGACCAATTGAGAAGGGAACAGAAATATAAAAGAATTTATCGTTAAATGGAGACACGATAAATTGATCATTTCGCGTAAATGGACCCTGCGAGTATTGAGATAAGTAACGAGCTCGTGCAAGATGGGGGTAAGACGCACCTCGAGTACGTCAAACCGCTGTGATCCTGAATTGGTGATGATTATGCTGGGGATGTTAGTCCTTGCGGGAATGCCGGCTTTAACAGTCAGGGGGAGGACCTATTCGCGGATACGGTGAGCTCCTTGGTCTAATCGACGGGACCAACAAATACCTTTTCAACGAGGAGGGAGAGGACAGAATAGTTGGAAGGGTACTGCGCGCTATGTTAGACGATTGTTAGCAGATTGATTCATAGTTACTTCATTTGCCTAGCTAACCGGTTAAGATAGTAATCTTGGGGGGCGGTACCGAAGACGTAGCTAAGATTGAATCGGCCCGCGAGAGCCGTAATCCCAGCGGTCACCTTCTGGCCTCTAGGCGTATCGAAAAATGGTGACTCGGTGGTGTGATACTGAAAGAGCGTGCGGGTAAGTAATCACACGCGCGCAAAATGGATGTCCAGCGCCCTACTTGGTATCTAAACATTATCAAAATAGAACGTTGGAGATAGTATCGAAGCCGATGAGAACTGACGGGTACATACGTGTTTCGGTTGGCATCCAAGTATCTCCGCGCAATTGGCAGTTTTTCTGTGCTATTTTTACCGTCTAATTTCGCACCTAGAGGTATAATGGTAGGCTTTTAGCTATCAGTTTTAGACAATAAACAAGAGGGGGTCGTACTCATCCAACCTGTGTGGTGGCACATAAATTTCATAATTCATTTAGTGACAAAATATTGTTACCAATGGCGTAAGCTCCACTGACCGCTAGATAGTGAGGAGGAGTAAGAGTCAGCTCGACGACGAATAGAGATGCAGAGTCGTCACTTACACGGTCTCCATGTATCGACCACTCTCCAGAGCCATAGAGCGATTATCGTACTGAACGCAGTCACGAATATGGGTATGTCCTGACAAGCAGACTTGGAGCGGTGAGCAGTTTCCGAGCTAGCGATATGACCTCACCTCCGAATATAAAGATAGGAGTCGTGGGGTGCACCGCGCGGATGGCGTTAAATACAAGCGGCCCTAGAAGAATTGAAAGTGAGTCGTGGTACAAAGACAGAGCATGAAGATAAGGCACGGACAATTATCTTGAGCAACCGGCATGTGTCTACTCGAGCGTTAGCATACTATGCCAAGAAATAAGACCAATGGGCGATGATATACCCTACTAATAAGAAGAAGTCGGGTTCTTCAGCTATAGCGCTCTTGAACTTCGATCACACGCATCAGAAAGAGCTCAGTAGGACAAAAGATCACATCGACTTACCCAGGGCTCGTTGACCATGTCTTGGACCTTCTGCACCGTCGTACCCTTGTCATTGGAGGCAAAGTTGAAAAGCACTCCAAAAGCAGTGACTTTGCGACCGCTTCGGAGGAATATTCAGCGAATGCTCGTCAGGTGAAGGAACTGTTTGCCTTACTTTCTTGTCTCGAATTTGGCGTAGCGGTCTAGCGGGGACATCAGCTTTTCTATGTACGAAAAGAGTTCTGATATCCACGCTACCTCCTACTGGCACATCGATTGCTTTTCCATCTTTGTCTAGCGTGGTGATATTCACATTTGACGAAAGGTATCGGCCATTCCACTTCGGAGCAAAGTTTTCATGCCTGGATTTGTAGCAGTGGCTGTCAATACATTGGGTCCGCATTGAATTAGGACCAACATAGCATACATGTCTCGAGTGATCTGATACTTGTAAAGCTCGTGGCTAAACTCCAGAAGAATCAGTTGTGGAATAATGTCCAAGGTGTCAAATGGCACGTACTTCCCAATGGCCAATACATCGTACGGGAGCTGTGTAATGAGCTCATTTGTCTAAACGGCGGCTCCGCTCAGCAGCGGCATTAAAGGGAGGAGAGCGCAGGTTACACACCTCGTGTCCATCGATTCCTCCAGGTGGATATCCATCTGACAAGCCAGTTCCATCGTGGAGATCACCCGAGTCCACTAGCAAGAGATCAACACCGCGCAAATCTGCCTCTCGCTTCATGTGGTCCACAAACGAGGCGAAATCTCCGAAATCTCCACTAATGCGTAGACAATGAGTGGTATGGGGTTGGCCGGCGGAGGAAATAAACACACCTATAGTTCGGCTCGGGTGCGGACTTCTTCTGGTGGCCTATTTGACGCTACGCTTCAGATATCAAGTTTAAGTATGGGGGAAATCATGTTTACCCATTAGCCATCCTATAGGGGTAGTAGTGGCCACCGTGAGCTTTGCCGCAAAACCTCACCAATGGAAGGACGCCAATGGCTTACCATGGGAATCGGTGGTGTGTATAAAATTCACATCTCCCCAGATGAGCGGGCTGCTAGGAAACGCGGTGCTTTGGGTTGCCCCAGGCTGGGAGCGTTTCTTGATAGCGTGGTTATGTCCGTCATCCCCACCGCAGGCGTTGGCGGAAGCGAAGAAGCCAAAAGAGAGGAGCGCTAGCTGAGAGACGCGCATCTAGCGTTTATCGGGGGAAAAAAGGAAGATCTAGCTGGGAACGTTGCGACGAAAGGCGCACGACAGCGCAGCTTGTGATGATGGTTGCTGGACGCCTCGCGAAAGCGCTTCGGAAGTCGATCCCATGTGGGCAAGTTAGGCTCACGTTGGGCTCCTCAACCCTATATGAATTATGTGTTACATAACCCCTGAGCGCGACTCAACGCCAGCAAATATTCTCACTTACGTAAGTCTGAGTGTCCTCAATGCTCGTGTCAGTGATATTGGTTACGGACCAAGATGTATGTAGTGGAGCGAAACCCATGCCCCCGTTTCGCACCATTTTTCATCACGACCGGATCTTTGATGCTCCCAAGTAGTTATTACGGACTATTTTCTATTCAGCTAAGTACACTTCTCACCCCTCCGACTCAACTTTGTCGCGCGTATGATCTTGTTTACAGGCACCGTGCATATCATATAAAACGTATGGTATATAGGTATATAGGGGTGATCTAATGAGCAAGTTCGCCGTGTTTCCACGACTCATGACTGCGTGATTCTCGCATGGGTATATGAACCATTAGTAAAACTTCGAGAAACGACCAAGCGCTTACAGGACCGAGCATCGAACTGCGGCTTTTCGGCGCCACCTATCCTCGAATCTATTTGGGCACTTGGCAAAAATGGTAGATATTGCACTGAGAGCCATACGGGCATTGGTCGTCGTATTTGCAAGCTGAGTTCAACACTGCACGTCAGCTACATCTACCTGCTCAGAGCGGAAAGATACACGTACGGGGAGCCTTCTGATCGGCAGAAGGAGTTGGGCTGGCAACGCCAAGAACAATATACATGGCAACGACGCAGATGCGGATGGGTTGCATGGTGAGAACGAGGATAAAGTCGGAGGGCAGAAGATATTATTTGGTGAGAGTGAGTCGTGAGTAGTAGCATTGTAATCCCTCGCCCCTTCTTGCTTTTAACTCGAGGGGCATGGAGGGAGGGCGTGGCAGCTAAAGATTCCAATTATGACGACATGGAGTACTAGCTTCCGCGAGCCCTAGGCTTTAGTAATAGTGCTCATGAACCTCGAAGAAGGGCGGTTTAATGAGTTCGTCCCGTGAGTGACGCCTCTGAGCCTTGGCCGCCAGATCCTTCAAGTGTGACCGTACTAGGTACGGAGGGGGGCTTATTTCCTTTATCCCGGCCTGTACTAAAGATTTATTACATACCGTTTTGAGTATGACACGCAGCGGAGACATTTTCACACCACAATGCACGAAAATACCACCGAAGACCGGCCTGACTGTAAAATTGGAGCCCGTTAGGACTAGCCCCAGTATGCACTAGTCGTAAGTCATGCTCGAAGCCTTGAAGAATTACTATCACCCAAGTTGAAGAGGAAAGACGCAGAAGTTCGCTGAAGATTACTGGTGGAAGAGCAAGCAGTGTAAGGATTATGCAAGATGCCTGCAGAAGAAAACTGCAACCTACGGAGTTTGTTTCCGAAATGACATTCCAGCGGAGGAATTCTCTCTTCTCCAGACTTCGCAAGGAACGAAACAAAAGAGACAGTCCCTCAAACCGGGATCGAACCAGTGACCTCGGGATGACAATTAACCATTACAGTCCCACGCTCTTCCAACTGAGCTATCGAGGGGGTAGACAACGTCGTGAGGTTCAAGCTCCTTTCCGCGAGGGTCGCTAAAGGGCCTCTGATATTATATTGAGTCACCATTGATGTTTTCCCAGACACAACTACAAAGGAATACACTCCCGATTATAACGTTAAGGGGGGAGCCGAAGTAATAAACAACAGCACAAGTCCTCCACTACCTCTTGACCTTTGGTTTGACCTCCTCGTCCTTGCAGGTGTGCAGCATAACTTTATTTACGTGATTCGGCGTCATACCGCCGTGGCCTTTGCTCCAGTCGTAGGATACGGCGTACGCGAATATCGTGGAGGTGCGATTGAATGCAGCAGTGGTAACTGGGCCTTCGGCCGCCGGGAAAGCTATGGAATGGGATAAGTATGTAAAAGGGCAGCATACGGGCGCTAAAGGACGGACTCTTGAGACGGGTGCGAGAGTCTTTATCCCAGAAGTTCACGGTCCCATCTGAGCCTAGTAGAATACAAGTGGAAATGAGGATTATTGACCTTCGACTTGCAGAAGACGGGGGATCGTTACCTGCGGTACTGAATGTCCCATGCTGCTGATTAAATCTGATGCAATTCACCGCAAATACAACCGATTGGTCTTTCATGCCTGGGGCGTTGTCTTTCCTGTGGCACTTGAAAGAGAAGTTATTGCTGTTGAGGAGTAAGCCGCTTGAGCACTGGTGATATGCTATCAAATGATGGCAACGTAAACTAACGTTTGGTGTTTTTCTTCAACATATCTGGCGGAATATAAATGAGGCCTGGGGTAAAGAATGAGTGATAGGTGACTCACTGGATCGCCACACGTCCTTCGATGCTACCGATTCCGAAGCCGTTGGCAGCAGGGAAGCATGAAATAGAACGAGTTTGCCATTTTAAAGGCGACAGAATTTTCTGAGGCATTGTTCAAGTTAGCAGAATATAAAATCCAAAGAAGGTGAATTATCTGGTACGAACTCGGTGTACGTTCGTGGGGTTATTAAGGTCTATCATGATAATGTGGCGCTCCGCAGTCCCAACGACGAGAAGTGGATAGGCTACGTCCATGGCATAACAGCGCTCGGGAAGCTGAACGGTAGCAATAGGATTTGAGCTCCGGGTGTCCCAGTACTAAGAGAAGGAATAAGCAATCTAGCATATATTACTGAAGGCGAGGCGGTGGCTACCTTTAGGGTCTTATCCCAGCTCCCGGTAGCGAGGTATCCACCGGTCGGCGTTTCGATCCAGCGCACACATTTTACGGGCGCGTCGTGAGCGGCAACTTGAACGGCTTGCCCCGATTGTATGTCGAACATGCGGGCAGCCTTGTCGGCGCCACCTGAGAATAATTTACTGCCATCCTGCGTCGCAAGATGAGATTCCAGAAATAAGCAGGAACTAATCAGAAGCCACATACCTTGCTCCAGCACAAATCAAATACAGGTCCTTCATGCGAGTACATCGCTTTGCCCTGGCTTTGACTTCCACTACCAATCTCGTATATGCGCACCTGGTGGACAGCGCTCAACTCAGTCCGCCATTCGCGATCAGCGCAGCACTTCAAAATAGGCCTACATTATTATCCCAGCTTCCGACAGCCAGGAGATCAGCCGTCGGGGAGAATGCGAGCGCGGTAACCGAATCGGTGGGCGGATCCTTGAGTTCTACATCCTGCGTGTCGCCAGTGGCCCCAGTAAACGCTGCTTTTCCGTTATTAAACCATGACATGGTTAAGAGCTGTATACACCGCTAGCTTATATGCTCGATGTCGAAGAATCGCAGCTGGCAATCGTCGGTGACGGTGTCTACGGCGCCTGCGAGGTCAACGCCAAAAGTGAAGTTGAAGCCGCCACTCAACGCGGCCGTCTGCGCTTGTTTGTCCCTGTTGGACTGGCCACAGCGCTTCCGCTGCGATCGTCTTGCCATCATGAACCCACCTCGACGTCGACAGCAAGATCATTTCTTTTCGCACTACGTATAAGCAGTATCTGAGCATGTCTGGCAAGTTGATTTTTCTGCGATCAGAAGTATGGGCTGCATAGTGACCCGCGCTCCGAACGCGTAGACAGCGCGCCAACGGACCCACTGGACATCTTCTCAGGTTCTCTCGAATCGCTCTATGATGAGCTGCAAGTGTCCTACTCCGAGCCGGGAAAGCTGTTCTCGTATCGGGGTGTGACAGTTTCTCCGCCCGATACCGCGTCAGAGAACTGGTCCCTCCATGCCAGCAGTATCTGGCGCGCCTCTCTCTTCCTCACAGACCATCTTCCCATCCTGGACGGCCCCGAACCGGTTCATATCATCGAGCTTGGTGCCGGCTCGGGACTTCCTGGTATATGTGCGGCGTTGGAACATCCAGGCGCTAGGGTCGTGTTGAGCGACTATCCCGACCCACACATCCTCTCGACTCTGGCGGAGAACGTGAGGCGTAATCAGCTCAGAGAGGTCAGAGTCAAAGTTGTAGGCTACGCCTGGGGCTCCGATCTCCCATCCGAGTTGATCCCTCACTCGTTCGATGTCGTTATGGCCGCAGATACACTCTGGATGCCCGAGCAGCATGCCAACTTCAGCCAAACTCTCGCTTTGCTACTGAAAAAGACAATTGGCGCCAAGGTGTATCTAGTCGCGGGGTTACATACTGGACGATGGATGATCGCAGAATTCATGCGCGTTGTTGCAACAACGGGACTTGGAGTACAAGAAATCAAGGAAGTATCCCTGATCAATGGGGAAGAGCGAGAGTGGAAGGCGGAGAGGGAGAACGAAGACGACACGAAACGGAGGCGCTGGATAATTCGGATGACTCTGAGGTAGCGTTTCCTTGCTTATTTGGCTTGGGTAGTCATCGAGCCAGATTTCTCACTGAGCGCGACATCTTGCCTTGTAGCTGGGCGACCTTACAGACAAGCTAGGATTCTCTTGCACCTGCCCATGTATCAGAAACTCTCTATTGACGTACTTCGTGAAGCTTCGTGGCAAAGAGGGCTACCCGATCCTTTAAATCCTTTACATGCACATTGGCATTCCCCTGGCCAGAGGCCATTATTTTAGGCTGCTGCTATACCCTCGATAGCTCAGTTGGAAGAGCGTGGGACTGTAATGGTTAATTGTCATCCCGAGGTCACTGGTTCGATCCCGGTTTGAGGGACTCTCTTTTGCTGGTTTTGCGTCTCAATACACGAACTCCAGATAGTCTTTTGTTTCTTTTCCTTTGCACGATCGGTCTCGACTCTGCTTGATCCTTACGTTGAACATCGAGCACTGAACGTCATGTCACGTGATCATTTACCTGCTTGCACGCATTACGCAACCTAGCCACCAACAGCTCTAAACAAACATGACCAAATTGTTTGATAAATCCATCCGAAGCAAGTCACCTGGATTCTCGACTCACCACCATGATCTCCTCCTCTTCGCCACATGCCTCTGCTCTCACCGGCCTCCTCTCCACCTAGGTCATTCGAGGTACGTGCGCTCAACCTTAGGGGGTGAACCCCCACAGGACCTGCTTTTGCAGAGCGGCAGAGCGGGCCCTCCCTCGCCTGTCCAGTCTTTGCCTCTCGTATGGGCCGTCGGGATGGTGTTTCGCCGACATCCAATCCCACGGTTCCGGCGCGCTTCGGCGCTGCGAGGTCGCAGAATGTGGCGCGGCCGAACCGAAAGGCAGCTACTAACTTTACGGGGCTGACCTTTCCAGCGTCCTTTAGCTTCGTGGTATTAACGATATCAGCATCAATGATCATCATGTCCGTAGTTTCCTCTCGCCTCTCATCTCGAATCATCTGCTAACATATCACCTATCCGTTCTCAGTGGCTTTAGCCTTTTGGTTGACAGAGGTCTTTGCACCTTGCCAATTTTTTCCTCCCCCTCTTCGCGAGGGTTTTTCCTTCTCGTTTGTTGCGCTTTCTCCCATGTATATGGCCTTATTGATACTATTTCAAATTCCATATTTCACGTCGTGTGCTAATGTAATTTTCGATCATTTTGCAACGTCCATGGTATCGACGATCACAGGCGTGGCCACCAACGTTCTCATCTTTTGGAGCCCAAATATGATCCATAAATCCCTTGAAGGACCGAGACGCTGTATCTTCTTTTCCCAACTCGCCACCACCATCATCCTCTCGAGTTTCCTGCTCACGCGCATATGCCTCTGCTCCCACCGGGCCCAACATTGCGCAATATATTCAAGGTGCGCAGGCCAGCCTGAGGGTGAAACCAATCCTGCTTGACCTGTGATGGCTCCCAAGGGGCCGAGCAGAGCGACCTCGTGTCAGGCGTGTGTCCAGTTCTCGCCTCCTCGTATGGACTGTCGGGAGAGTGCCTCGTCCACGCTCTCCCCCACAGGCTCCTCTGTGCTTCGGCACTACGAGATCGCATGCAGTTTGGTCAACCCGACGGTCGGTCGGGAGCCGCTAATCAGTACGAGCTGACATTTATAGCGTTTGTTTATTTATTGCGAGATTATATAGTAGAAGTGCACTTGAACATCATCGCCCCCACGTTCGTTTTCCCTCCCTTCCCATTCCTGTCTCCTAAACGCTCACTGATCTATACATATTTCTTTTCAGTGACTTCGGTCTTGTCGTTGATTGGTCTTCGGACCCATTAATTTTTCCCCTTCCCCTCTTCGCGAGGTTTCTCACCCTTTCACTCGCCTGCTTGGCTCCGAAGACCGCGCGATGGTGTCCGGACGGTGGGCGGTAGAAACTGTGCGTACTTAGTGTCACACTAGTTCTGTCATTCCGACCCATCAATCATGTACTCTCCCGCCTCCATAACACGCGAAAACGATGCCGCTGTGTTCTCGAGCCTTCCACTCTACATCTCTCGCAATCAAATGGTGTTTAGATCGATATAAATTGCACGATAACAAGGGATACCCAAAAAGCACAGAATCGACAGTCCGAATGAGGGCAAAATACAACAGGAAAGAACCAAAACCAAAAGAAAAGGCGCCGTATTTCACGCACGGAGGCTTGGCGGGATATTCGCCCTATATCAACGCCCGGGGTACCCT